GAGAAAAACGCCTTCGATTCCGGTTACAACATGATAAGCCTTAAAAGGGTATAGAAGCAGCAATTAGGGATAAACCAGTTAATTTTCTTGATTAAATAGCTTAAATATGGGCGGGAGAATGATATCATGCTCTGAGGATGTCAGACAAAAGCCTAGTATGATTTTACCGGAATCAAAGGAAACTTCCTCTAAGACGGTGTCAGCAAGAATTATCCAGTAAAGCTAATCGATAACTGACCAGGAGAAATCCACCGTCATTTTCTGATTGGATCGATCTTAGAATCGCTTCACCACACACTTTCCCTCGAAATGGAAATAAGCCCAACAACGCGATGACTATAGCTTATGTAACTAAGACGCTTAGATGAGGTAAATTAGAATTCTTCTCAATGGATAATATAAATGAATGTAAAATATAAGAGATGTAAAAGCGTAAGCTTTATCGGGGAAAAAAATTGCGAATATTACCTGTCCAACATTGAAAGTCTAAGAAGAGGCAAAACTGGCCTAAACTTATTTTAAGATGAAATATAAAACATAGTGCAGAAAAAGCAAATCTATTGACACACACAGCTTATAAAAATAAAGGCTTAATAAGTATTCCCACGATCGATCTAAATAAATTCGGGATCTCAATTGGAATTGTTCTGCAGCCGATATCACGTAGGACAGTGTGCAGAAATTCCGATAATAAAAGAGAAATGGTCAATTGACGAATGCATCCCCTGTTCCAAAAGAACTAGGTAAATATTTTCTTAGATAGTTAAAGCAGTTTTACCAAATATAACGTTTAAGTCAAAGAGAAATAAACAAAAGCTTAGTTTGAAAAGCTCAAAAAATCAATGGAATAGTAAGGAATATACGAGCTCGAAGACATTTTCAGTAGCCCCAACTTCACACGCCAACACAAAAATCATTCATATCCCGACGATAATGACCATCGTTCACTTCACCTAAGATCAAAAAAGCTATATAATATCAAGTCTAAACATTATCTCATGATATACCTCTAACTTACCTCTATGCTCTCAGGATTCGGGACCTTCTCAAGGAGAAGACGAAATTTGGAAATTGTAGCCCGATTATCGGATATGCCCTCACCGAGGCCTCGTCCGTCGTCAAAACGTAGTTGTCTATCCAACCAAACCTGTAGTTCTCCGGACGTCTCACTAGTCACACCAAGAGATTGGCTGCTAAGAAGACTAAGCCGGAAATAGTCGGTTCCTGTTTGTGACACTGTTTTTTGTAGCGTACTCAAGGGATCCAAATCTTCTACGGAGAGCAAAGACTCTAAGTAAGTAGGAAATATGCTGGTGGTAGTAAGGCCTTCAATATAAGCGGCACATGACATTGGATAAAGGTTGCCCTGAAGCGGGATCTTAGAGAGATATCGGCGGCGTACAAACTGAAAGAGATAAGTATCAAATAAGTTTGTCATAAGGGGACTTAATAAGTTAATAAAATATAAATGGCGATAAATTTATCAAAAATAATAATATTGCTAGATAAGAAGTGGAGCAAAATGAGACGAAAGAGAACTAAAATATTTACTAATGCAATATGAATAGAATTACATATCTAAAATAAGAAGAAAAGAATATAAACGATGTATGATTTGAGTTCATCCTATTTTGTTTAAATTGATGAAGGACTGGTAGTTGAATTATCCCACATTGATAAGTAGAGTCTATCTTTTCTATTTATTTCGCATAGTCTTGTATTTCCAAAAGGTGTTCTCATCCAGGGTAAATTGCAGTTTCGATCTCGTCAAAATGTTATCAAGACCCCAAGCGGGAGTCGAATCAGAACAGGGCAGTGTGTAAACTCTACACGTTAGCCACTAAGCCACATTGCAACGAGTGCCCTTAGGTCACATGGAAGATGTGAATTTAAAGAAATATCAGGTATTTTCTATATCGCATTCCGTGTTGGAATTGTCGATGAAGCGAACTTATATTTGCTATAGCAACCTATTGATTTACTAAAAAAGTAATTTCGTCGATTGCTATAGCAAATATAAGTTTGCTTCATCAACAATCTAACACAGAATGTGATATTGAAAATGTCTGGAATTCCTTGAAATTCACATCTGCCCTGTGACCCAATTGCACTAGTGGCAATGTGGTGTAGTGGTTAACGTATTAAGCTTATAGGGTGTATTGTCACTGTTCGACTCTTGCTTGGCTTATTGCTAAGATCTATGAGAGGTCGAAACTAGAATAAACCAAAGATTAGAACACCTTATGGAAAAGCAAGGATATGTGAAACTCAATGAAAAAGTTAGCTCTACTCATAGGATTATGGGAAAATTGAACTACTATTACTTCACCAGCATAAACGAAATATGGTGAACACAACTCACATATTTGACTTACTGATTATCTCGAAAAACTACTCATACAAAAAAAATATAAACTCTGGTATAAAATTCCCAAACTTTTCTGGGATAAACTTGACAGCAAAATCTTGTTTTCAAAAAAATAAACTTACTTGAAAGCAGTTAGAGTCTGTATAGAAGACATTTGATGAATCTATTGAT